ACGATGGACACACTCCGGGAAATTGCGTCGTCGAATCGTCGGCTCCGACGATTCTTTCGTCCCGGCTGCCGATGCGTTTTTTCCTTGCGGTGCTCGAGCGGGTCGCGAGCTGCCGGAGTCGTAAATCAAATTACACGTTGAATGAGATTAGATTTCTGTTTGGCCACGTTCGAGCCTGGGTCCCGTGGATCCGACGAGGGTAAGGACTGCTGCGGTGGCCGTAGACCTTTCTCCGTCTCCTCTCGTCCTCGTCATAGCTCCCTGCCAGCCTCTCTCCGGCGGGGCACGATGTTGCTACCGCTACTGCTGGCCCGTGATAGTGGTAGTGGCAACGGGCGGCGGCGTTGGCGGTGGTGGTGGTGGTGCACTACGAGGTCCAACATTAGTTAACGATTAATCAAGGCGCTTGTAGCTCAACATATATCATTAAACTAGTTAGCGAAGTAGGGTCGGCCAAGTGTGCTGACCACTGGCTACCACCACCCACCACCCTTCAAGCTGACCAACCCCCTTGACCGAGCCCCCATCTTGTTTCCGCGGCCGATCCAACCCTCTGGCGACGTGCTCACGTACCGAACGGAACTCTTAGAGACTCCGAGTTCAACCTCGTCCCTGATGTTTAGCCCGTTTATACTGGCTGCCAATTGCTCGTTAAACCTCGGCAACGAGCGCGAGTTTCCACGGAGTTTCGGAGCCCGATGCCGACTACGATCGTTCCGCGATCCTTCTCCGACTGGCGATCGCATCCCGTAGACCCGCGCATCCTTTTTCGTTTCTCGACGCTGGCACCAGTCGCGGGCTTCACCGATTTCTGCGTGGCCGGAGCTTTCTTTCGATTTCCGTTCGCAAGGCGACGAGTCGCCGGCGGACTCTGAGAATCAAATCCTGGACTAATAAATGTCTATTTCACCACCGTGGCGTTGTTAGGTAAGAAATCTTAGGCTAGCCGATGCCTATGTCATCATCAGGTGTCAGTGCGACGAAGGATAGCATTCAATGTTAACCTCGTAACTTTTCGAAATAGAACAATGTGCTTCAAAAGTGTAAACTCGTAGGTTTCCCGAGTAACTGGGATCAAGGTAGACGAATGAATTAGGCTAAGACTAAAGTATAGTATATCAGAAAAAGGATTAGGGTCATATTTATATAACCTATATATAATTACAGTTATAATAATTTCCTAAATGTTTAGCTTTTGACAGACAATGCCACTTCGAATCGATTTTATATATTACATTTTATTTTTCCATTTATCATTTTATTACTACTTTATTTAATATATTTATTTATTTTATTTATTCTTCTTACATTTAACAGAATCTAATAATCCAGTGTTAATACGAATTCTCAACGCGTTCGGTCATGATGGAGTGCGACGCGCGCGAATTTAGAGGTTGCAACTAATGCGTGTCATTATCAAGACGAAGTTAGCAAAGCTGCGCCACGTGTCGCAGGCACTCGCAAGGATTCGCGACGAATGTTGAATAGAATTGTTTGTTCGAAAAGACACGCGGATGCAAAGATCTCTGTTCGAAAGAACGATACTTTCCGAAGAGACCTCGTAAACCGGGGGCGAGTCCGACGGAAATATTCTCGGGATCACGGAACGACCCGATTGGATCCGGGCCCGTCGTCGTCTGACCTTCTCTCACGTCCCGCACACCGATCTCTCGGGTTGCAGCCGCCCCCGCACTCTGCCGTCCCCGTCTCTTCTAGTTTTAACCATCGGGAGACGGCCGCATAGCCTTCTGCGCGCCCGCGGGCGCCCCTTATAAATCCTGCAGGACTCCTGCAGGCACTAATGTACGACTGTTTGCGGGTATAACTTGGCCCCGACACGAAGGATAGGGGATGGTGTTTCCAGTACATGCTAAGCCGGGGCTAAAGGCTCGCTAGACCGAGCCATTCCTCACTGCCCTACAGACTTACACCTACCCCTCCCACGGTGCTTGTCTTTGCTTCTTATCCCTAAGCAAATGTGGTCACCGCGAGGAGCAGGGCGCTGGGATTTATTGATGGATTTACGACCTTGATGTTTAGATCTTCGAGGAAGACGAATGGAATCTTGAAATCGCGAGCGTCATTCGCGTTTAATCTTCGTCCGGCCGAGGGATACACGAGCAGACCCGGCGACGAGACCTGTTTGTTCCGTGGGATTGACGTCACGCGGCGCTACCGTGCCGCCCACGAACCCGCGAGGACACTCGCAATTAATTGTAATTGCGAACCGGTGACTACGGGCTTTTTCGCGCGGCCGAATTCAATCGCGTTTTCTTACCGGTTTATTGGAAACGATGGTCCGTTAATTGCCGGACGGGATCGAGATCTCGGATGGATTTCGGGTGGGGGCGATTTCGTGCGCGGTGGTTCGCGCACGGATTCGATTGGTCGCGCGAGATCCTGGAATTTTATGGGTGGATCTTTGTCGAATTTTATTCGGGACCTTTTATGGAGTTTTATGCGGAATATTGTGGGTGATTTTGTACGAAATGTTGCATTGGATTTTGTAGGAGGTGTGTGTGTGTGCAGGAAATTCTTCCTAATTCGCGATTAGATTGTGCAAAAATATGGTCAATATGGAAAGAGGAGATAAATATCTAAAAATAAATAACTATAAATAACGATGCAGAGAAAAGAAACGAAATGCAAGCTCGAATAATGATATCTTTTCTTCTAAAATTGTCCAATTTTGCGCGCAATCTGAGCGCGAATTAAGGAAAAATTACTCTAGATATCATTTTATCGTCCACACAATTTTATACAAGGCACTTTACACGATTTTATACAGTTTTTTTTATAAAGCAGCTCATACAATGTTGTAAGAGGCTTTTCATAAAGTTTTGAAGGAAGCGTTTCATACAATTTTGCATTACTATGTGCAAAGAATGCACTTTTATACGATTTCATGAAAGGTATTTTTAAAGAACTGCTGGGACGAGTTTTTTCAATTTTCTAGCAAAATGAAGTACGGGAAAGCATTTACGTTATCGCGGAATAACAACATTTTTCGTGTAATTCTCGTGCAATGAATCCTCTAATCGAACGAGCTGATTTTTTGCCGAATTCAATTTTCAGAAAATAATCAACGCGGATGGGTTCTGCATAATGTTTGTCGATCTGCCGACGGCGATTGACGTGTCATTTTGCAACAAATTCAGAGATATTGCTGTAACAAAGTTTTTTTCGTAGATTCGGAAATAAATATCAGAAAATTAATAAGAATGAGCGGAATACAGTAAATTCTCTCTAATTGACGCTGAGATTGTGCACAAAAATGGACAATTTGGGAAGAGGAGATACGATTATTCGAGCCTCGCGACTTGTTTTTATAGTTGTTGACAATCTGTAATTATAAAAATGAACCATGAGACTTGAATAATCGCATTTACTCTTCTCAAATTGTCCATTTTTGTTTCGAAGCTGAGCGTCAATTAGAAAGAATTTACTATATATAGCTATTACTCTCTCTAGCTTTATTATATATATACGTTTTACACGACGGAATATTTTTTAATAAAAATCTGTTGATACACTCTATAATATACTCTAGCAATAAACATATTCGATTCTCAATTCTTCCGAATTAATTAGACGTTTAAGACGATGTTAGAGTAGACGAGATTTTTAGCGTTAGATCGTACGTAATTTAGGGGTTATGATGCTTCGCGATTTCGAAAACTCGAACGTAGAATAAAGATATCTTTTCAATTGCATTCTTTTTAATTGCATTCCAAGAATTGACTTATATATATATATATATATATAATATACCTATTAGCTTTACTATATATATCTAATATATTAACGCAGACGAAAATTCCCACGAAATCTGAACCAATCGAATAAATAAGCGATGCGATTTTCCACGAAGATTCCGCAATAATTTCCGATATTCGGAAGGGCGGACAAGTTGAACGGATGAGTTGGTTAGTAAGTATGGAAAATGGTCGTTCCAAGGGAATAATTTCGTGTAGAGCAAGCCTAATGACGCTGTAGGTGGTGCCGCCTTTAGATTATCGACATTTCGAGATGAAGCAGAAGCCCGAAGGGACTGGACACATTAATACCGTCGCAGGGAATCACTTGGCGAAGTTATTTGACCACCACTGTTCATCCTGGGAGATGGTATTAAATCCCTCCTCCGTTCTGCCGCCATCCTCTGGACCTACATTCAGTGGTTCGGACAGACTTGTACCAAGGGCCAGAGCTAGCTAGGCACCAGTGTCCGGCGGTGTCGTCGGCAAACGTTTGCTCGACAAACAAACTCAACTCCCGGTCCCGGCTTCACCATTGCGCGACTCTGTTTTACTATATAAATGAGATGGTCACCCTAAGTACGGGGTTGAAAGGGATGATACTGTACGTGTGTGCCCGGTACCACCCACCCGTTTTCCACCTTGACGACCGCAAGCGCCGATCCTTCATCTCTGCTCTTCAACCCCCCACCCTCCTGGCTCCTAGGGTGGAAACTGACCGGTAAGAAATTGGTCCGTTGATTGCAAACTACCCGTGGATCCTGGCTCCACGGTGCAGTCGATCGAGGAAATCGTTTAAATATTGCTACCACCTCGTCGAAATTTTCCATTCATCCCCATTGTCATCTGAAACAAAAGTCTGATTTGGGAGATCGATCGAGGCGTTTCTGAAGGCTGAGACTTTGTTTCACCCACGAATTCAAGAATTAATGTTATTTACAAGTTGAAATTGCCTATCGTCGACAATTCTTGGAATGCAATTAAAAAGAATGCAATTGAAAAGATATCTTTATTCTACGTTCGAGTTTTCGAAATCGCGAAGCATCATAACCCCTAAATTACGTGCGATCTAACGCTAAAAATCTCGTCTACTCTAACATCGTCTTAAACGTCTAATTAATTCGGAAGAATTGAGAATCGAATATGTTTATTGCTAGAGTATATTATAGAGTGTATCAACAGATTTTTATTAAAAAATATTCCGTCGTGTAAAACGTANCGGGGTTGAAAGGGATGATACTGTACGTGTGTGCCCGGTACCACCCACCCGTTTTCCACCTTGACGACCGCAAGCGCCGATCCTTCATCTCTGCTCTTCAACCCCCCACCCTCCTGGCTCCTAGGGTGGAAACTGACCGGTAAGAAATTGGTCCGTTGATTGCAAACTACCCGTGGATCCTGGCTCCACGGTGCAGTCGATCGAGGAAATCGTTTAAATATTGCTACCACCTCGTCGAAATTTTCCATTCATCCCCATTGTCATCTGAAACAAAAGTCTGATTTGGGAGATCGATCGAGGCGTTTCTGAAGGCTGAGACTTTGTTTCACCCACGAATTCAAGAATTAATGTTATTTACAAGTTGAAATTGCCTATCGTCGACAATTCTTGGAATGCAATTAAAAAGAATGCAATTGAAAAGATATCTTTATTCTACGTTCGAGTTTTCGAAATCGCGAAGCATCATAACCCCTAAATTACGTGCGATCTAACGCTAAAAATCTCGTCTACTCTAACATCGTCTTAAACGTCTAATTAATTCGGAAGAATTGAGAATCGAATATGTTTATTGCTAGAGTATATTATAGAGTGTATCAACAGATTTTTATTAAAAAATATTCCGTCGTGTAAAACGTACTGGCCAGAAAGTGCACCCTAAGGGGATAATTAACTGGTACGTCAAAAGCTCAGAGAATTAGACTGACGCAAAAATGACTTCACATATTTTTTACTGCTACTACAAACAGTACAATGTTCACAAAAGGGAGCCACATTCTTCTCGCCCCCAATTTAATAAAGCAGCGCCGATATTGAAACTCATTGATTAAAATAAAATCCATTAATTCATTAAAAAGTTACGAACGAAGGTGCGCCAAAGGAAAAATCGATCTTCACAATCCATTAATTAGCATGTAAATTCAGGACTTTAAAAATTCATTTATATAATACGAACCGACCAGAAAACACGTGCACGTGTCGTATGACACGTTACATACTTCTGCATTCTGGATTCCGTGCGATGTTAACACTCTGAGAAGAAGACATTTCTGAGAAATTAATCGATGCGCCTTGGAACTTCAATTTCCATAACGGCAGTATTATAATGATCGTGTTGCAAGCCTCGTTCGTATCCAAGGTAACGATAAAATTATTTTCATCGCGTCGGATAATTTCTCGACCGGGTTTGAAATTTTGGAAACTAGATTCCTTTTTGGCAAAAATGGTTATTGGATGAAAGATTTTTGGCCACTTAAATTTAACCACAGACTTTATAAATTATACTCTCTAAATTGTATCTTGCAGGCTGGAATTGATTTTATATATATTGATTTTATTATATATTGATTTTTACGAATATTTGATTTATTTTACAAATTATATTAAATTACTGTCTTCTTGTAAACTTAAATCGACAGCGAACTTTTGACATTAATTCTCAGTGTTAATTAAATTTTTTAAATTGTTTCTTGGGAACGGAAATTCATTTTGATGTGAACTTTCCAAAATAAATGTCGATTCCTTTTTCCTGGAACTCAACACAATTAGTTTCATTAATTTAATTCACTTTAAATTAGATATGTTTTGAAAACAATGTGCAAAATTTAACCGAATTGGAGCAGAGAAAATCTCGGCAGTTGAGCCGAATAATTGCACTGTTTCCGGAATGAATTCCGATAGAAAGTCACCGGTGGTTCTTTCGTCCAAGAATAACGTAATCCTGGAGCCCGACTCGGAAGCTACTTCGTATTAATGTTTGCCCCGATATCTGTAAACAGGCATTTACCTGTATCTCGGCGCGGAGGTGTAACTATCGGTTCGGTGAGCTCTGCCGTGGGTTTGAATGTTAGCCGGCCACAGGGATTAGGAAGTTCCTTCGGCTGGGTCGCCGTGCACACTGTTTGCGCTTCCCTATCGATATATCGCGGAAGGAAAAGAGAAATTCGTGGCTCGCTGGTTCCCAATCCGTGTTGATTCGAATATTTCGCCGAGGAATTGCTCGAGGACCCTGGACAATCGAAACTTGGCTTCAATACATCTTCGAATTACAGTGTTATCTCTAGTAATTGCTTATTCTGCTTATTTAATATATTCGCTTCCTCCGATTATTTAATGTCGCTGTGCAATCTCAAACTTTGCTTCGGAATCTGCGCGACGGAAATCTGCAAGAGAGAGGAAAGACGTTGCATTTATTTGGACCTTGCGAAGCGTTTTTGAGAAGAATGCTTTAGTTTCTATTTTCTGGAGTTTCTTCGCAAATAGATAAAAATAGATCAGAAGAGAGAAAGAGAAAAAAAGAGAAAAAATAGATAAAATAGATTAAAGCAATACGTGTCACAAAAGAACGTTATATTGAATGTACATTTTATTATAGAAAAATATAGTAACTAATGATTAAGGATTGTTGCTTATCGAATTTTAGATTCTTGTCACTTTTGAAGGCAGATTTTGTCTAAAAAATTGTACTTTAATTAAAAAATTTCTGAAAACATTAGAACATTTTTTTCGCCTCTCAGTCTACCGTAGAATCGAAGCTCAAAGCTTCGTTTTTACAACGACCCCTTGAAATTTGATGTAGGATACGTTTTTAGTCGGTTCGCGAAACTTTGAACGAAAAATGCACCATCAACTTTACATTAAAATTAAACCACGAAATTTTTACGCGATCGGTCTTGTTTCTCCATTTTGGTTCACGAAGCAGCTAAAAAAAATCGTATGCTAAATTTGTTGGTGTCATTGTTAAGGGGAAGCTTCAATCTTCAAACTCACGACAGAATAATTGAGAAAAAAAATTGTCCAACGTTTCACGCGACGTTAGAATTCGTGTCACTTTTGGAAAAAGCCGTCGAAATACAGTAAATTCTCCTTAATTTTCCATCAGCTTGTAATCAAAAATGGACAATTTGGGAAGAGCTGATACAATGATTCGAGCCTGGCACCTCGTTTTTATAACTGTTGACGATCGGTAACTATAAAAACGAACCGTAAGGCTCGATCTCAATCGTGTCGCCTCATCGCAAATTATCAATTTTGATTAAAAAACTAAAGTAGAATTACGGAGAATTCACTGTACTTTCAACAGGCACCGTATCTTGATGAAATCCGCCCGAAATCTTCAACAAATTTCGCCGGACAGCGGTATAAGCAACGGGAATGAGTTATTCGGACAGGGCAGCGCGGCGCGCGCAGCGTTAACGATCTTAAAAAGCCGGTATTGTATGTCGATCGTGGAATCGGCTGGCATAAATTCTAATCAAATTTGGCCGATCCGTAACCGCAAAATAAACGGTAATATATCGACGGGACATCGGTCGCATAGTTTCCCCGTGAAATATGCAGTGGCCCGATCTTGCGGTCCGCGGCGCGGCTTATCAGTCGTCCCGCGCCCTACATCATCGTATTTTTAGTGTTTGTCATCGGCACGGGCCGCGCGCAATCATCTATATTACGCTGTTTGCTCAGATACGTGCGTAGGGAGGAATAAAAAGGCCGGTTTGCAAGGATTCATTGTGGACGATAACGCGCTAGTGAGCGATGACACACCGGCATTACCGTAGATGACAGAGTGGTCGGTTTCATTCACACGCGTGCGTCGCCCGCACACGCGTGTCCTCTATATTGCGGGCCGGCCGCCGCGGCGTGTGTGCCCGTGCGTGGACGCGGCCGGTTAACTGACGCGGAATATTTACATTGTGTGGCGGTGCAATTAAGCCTCGTATCCGGCATCAAGCGTAGGAAATTCCGTGCGGACTAACACCTTGCTGCTCCCTGCGCTTTCATGCCGCTTGCTTCTGTCCTTGTGACAAGCCGACTGTTTCGTGACCCGACACCCAACTTCCAGCCGCGTTCTTTCTCCCCTTTCCGTTTCTAACGCGGACACCATAAACGCGGCCCGTCCGCCAACTTTTACGGCTTTTCGTCGCGTTCGCGTGTCCACTTTAACGCTGGATTCACGGCTTCCGGCAGTTTCACGGATCTCGAATTTCGAAAATGCATCGCGAGATAATCGTAACGTCGATTCGAACCGGTTCGTAATTTCGTTCACTTCGTTCCAAGAATATATCGGGTGTCACGCATTTTTACATACTTCAGGAGCGTGTTCTACGTGTAATAATAAGACCGAAATGTTATACAACGAAAACTCCATAAACGCTTTCTTGAGGAAATAAGGGATGTGATTACAAAAATCATCGGACTTTTCGTTGTGCAACATTTTAGTCTGATTTTTATCTGTAGAATTCACTTCTGAAGTATGTACGGAAAAATGTGGGACGCTCTCTATATATCTACACATCTATTTCTTTCTAGGTTATCTAACTTTTAAAATCTTCGGTCGGTCACGAAAATGTTGGGACACTTTTTTAAATGGAATTACTTTTTCGAAATTGGACCGGACTTGAATTGTTTTTATATGACAGACAATATGCGAACAACATTTTTGTAAAAATTGCTATTGGTTGAAATGATAAAAGAAATGGAAAGGTAATTTTTTTTTTAATTCTTTCCTCTGAGCTTGTAACGATAATTCACACGTTGCATTACCAAATGATTTTGAATTTTCTTCGTAATGTTTCTGTAATTTCTTGGTGATTTTTCTTTGCAAGCGTTTTTCAAGTTACAGTTTAGATACTGGTTTACAAAGGAAGTTCGACCCTCAATTGTTTATCTCATTTCATTTTTGGAAAATTTTCTGAGAACAACGAACATCGGAATGATTTCTTTCGAATGATCATCCATGATGGACAAATGCACGCGTTAATTGATGCAGCAGAAAATTCGGTTGAACTTTATGTCACGTGCACGGAGTCTTATCACGTTCATTTGAGCAGCGCATACATTGTAAAATTTTATTACAATCTTGATTTTACCATATGGTCACTCTCCAGCAATAACCGGCTGCAGATGCAGTTCCTGATTCGTGCAATAAAATGAGGATTCTGATAAAGTTTAGCAAAACACGTATGGCTTTATGAACATAATAAAACTGTTATTGTAGGGGTTGAAATTATGCCTACTTTCCCTTCTCATAAATTAACGTCCGCCGGTGAAAAAAGCATCTTCCGTTATTCGATTTCAATTAAAGTTTCATGAAAAAATAATTACAGAAATAATTATAGTGCACGGTAGAAAGACAATCGTCGTAAAATTAGCAAAACGTGTGCTGTATTACTACCGTAATTTCTATTACCCATTAGCCGTAACAAAGGTAGAAATTAAGTTGATCAAAGATAGTAAAGAAAAAAGAAATACATAAAAAGAGAATGCACGAAAACAGAAAAAAAGTAAAAATATATATAAATTATTAGAGACGCTTATAGCAAATTTAGTATAGCAAATTAGTATAGCAAATTAGTATTAGTATAGCAAATTTTTCATTTTCTTGCTCGAGTTTGAAAATCTCGAAGATGAGAATGTTTGACAAATTTCGGAGAGAAGCTGTCAAATTTTCGAGATGCGTTTCAATTCTTTTCACCGAAGTAGAATGCAACGTAAATATTGTTCGGACTTGAACTGAACTTGGTTGGCCAGCGAACGAGCTTTCGAGGGACAGATGAAGATAGCATCGTCGGAATTTGCAAAGTAACAAACAATGGGAAAGGAAGTTCGATCAGTGGATATCGATCAGCAGTTTCCAGCAGAGGGTGTAACTGTTTCTACCGCTCGTAAGGGAATTCCAGGCCCGAGTCGGGTGGGAAACGCTCGGGGAAACGTTTCAGAGAATCGTTAACGTACCCTTGACTCGAATACACCTTGCGGATGATTGCCCCCAGGGGCTCAGCAAGATGATTGTCCGTGCATAACGGGATCACGTGTTTTTCACTCGTCCCACGACCATCAAACCCGCTGAAATCATAGTGCAACCTGAAAAGAACAGTCTCGCGACCCTTCCATAAAATTCAACTATCCAATTCGCAGTGCATATTCCGATTAACCTGATTCTTCCGAACAACCCCGAAACGAACGGGTTTTGTGCATTTCATGCATTCACGAGAAATACGTATAGGCGAAACAGTAACCAAATATGTTGATATATTAGTTACAATTTATTGAAATTATATTCAAGAGAGAAGCAAGATTGCACTTGGCACCTGCGTCTTGCAATCGTTGCAGGCGACTTTATTTCGCGTAAAGTCTACTAATTGCCACGGAATAACGGAAAGCGACGTTCCACAAAAATAATTCAGAAACAACGACGAAACCGGTTCCCACAGTAAAGGGTCGGAAAAAACGAATTGATTATCCGCATAAAGTCGTTCTTGTTAGCTAGCTCTCCCGGCCGCTGCTGCATGATGAAAATCTCAACAATCGGAATTTACATTTTTCCGGTGGATTTGTGAAAATTATATGGTTACGCGGCGATATAAAAGTCCCGAGGAACGTATTAATTTGATGCGTCGCGCGACAACAGTCCGCTCCGCGGGAATTTTTTGTTCTTTGACTGCGGGCTCGCGGCCGCCGACAGTTTTGCATAAAACATTTCGAAGGGAATATTTGTGGGGGCATTCCGATGTCACAATCCAAATTTTATTCAACTTGAGAAATATCCGCGAGCGAGCGGCCTCAAGGAGGAGCGCGCACCGGAAAGACAAACAAATATAAACGCGTAAAATGATATAAAAGTACACTCTTCTTAAAATACCAACCAATTCGTAACTAGCAATTTTGTACTTTATCGTGCATCCAAACTCGTGCAATACTAAAACAATTCTAAATGTTCCAATCATCGATGTAAATCTGTCTTGAAATATCAAACGATTAATTATCTGGACGTTCTACAGTTTGGTGTGCAATTTTTGTGCAACGCTAAAGCAATTCCAAAAGTTTCAATCATCAATGTGTACTAATCTTGATATATCACACAATTAATTAGCTGGGTGTTATACGGTTTGTGTGTCGTTTTCGTGCAACACTAAAACAATTTCAAAAGTTTCAGTCTTAGAATGTACACTAGTCTTGAAATATCAAACGATTAATTGTCTGGACGTTCTACAGTTTGGTGTGCAATTT